TCAACTCCCCCTAAAGCAATATTTTGATTTTAAATTATTTATCCAAATTTGAAGGATACCAATCAATTACCCAAGCAAGTAATTGCCCACCTATGCAATCGATTGGTTCCTCACTTTTTCTTAATATTTTGCCTTTTTTTCGTCATAATCGACCGATTCGTTCCTTATAACAATCGACTATCACCTGCAGAAAAATCCATTTAACACAGACAATTTGTTTTCTCAGTTCTTTTCCCTTATTATTTCTCAACCTCATTTACCCTATTTTCACAACATTATAAGCAAGTTAAGATGTAAAATCAACAAGGATTACAATAATCAAGAAATACATAGTAAGGCTTCAACATAACAAACAAACATCAAGAGTTAGTTAATAACACAATCTATGGTTTTCATCATGAATCAAGTATTCTATATAAAGCCCATTCTAAAGCATGCTTCAACCTAAGTTCTTGATATCAACAAGTTCAACAACAAGATCACAATAACAAGATCACAACAAAAACAATCATGTTATCAAATATGTAACATGAACCAAACATATCATCAAGAACTCAACACAACAACATAAAAATCCTAACTCCCAAACCATGAAATTCTTCCCCCAAGCTAAAACTAGCTAGGAGCTCGCCTTAGAATGAAGAAGATGATGAACATTGATGATGAAAATAGATGAACATGATGATGGTGGTGATAATTCTCTCCTTTTATTTTTCTCTTTTTTCCCTATTCTTTCTTATTTTCCTCCTCTTTTCTTTGTTCTCTTTCTTCTACTGGTTTTCTCTTTCTCTTATTATCTTTACTAACTTCCTTCTTTCTCCATCCTTATATTTACCTCCATATAATATAAGAAAAATATATCTTTACATCCGTGTGGTAAGTAATAATTGTAACAAAAATATTTCCATTTGATAGATATTTCTTACTATTGTCGTAACCGGCAAAAAATAAGAGTCACCATCACTACTTATTCGCCCTAAGGATGAGAAAGGAACAGAAAAGCCCTAAGTGTTTAGAGATTAATGGGTTTGTGAGTTGATTAGAAAAAGGGGAGTTGTTAGGCACCCTTTACCTCCCTTGTACTCAAGGGGATCCTTTTTAGACCTATTACTTAGAGGGAATTACCTTAGGTGGAACTTCAGCGCCAGGACTTGATTTATCGCTCTCACTAGGATTATTTAGCCTAGCAGCTATCTCTTGCTCTGTTGGCTCTCTGATGATGACAGGAGGAGGTCTCTACCCAATAACTTTAACCTTGACCTTGGTTTTTGGACGAGGCTAAGGAATAGGGGTTGGTTTTTTTAACTTGTGCCTCTTTAGGGGGACAGGAGGAGATTCTTCTTCTTCATCACTGGAAATTTCAATTTCTTGAACTTTCCTTTTCTGTGGATTGATTTCAAATACCCAGAAAGAAAGGAGTCAAAGGCATTAGCGTCAAAAGTAATATGTAGAGAAGAAATATATAGAAGAAAGTGTTTACCTTTGGTGAAGGTTTCATAGAAGGGTTTCCTCCCTTTGCGCTTTCAGCGACTTTCTTGGTGACAGTCCTCTTGACCGCTAGAAAATGAACAAGTATAAGTTAGATGTCGAATGATTAAATCAAAGACGATAAAGACATTTTCTTTGAGAAGAAAGATTACCCTTTTTTATCTTGTCAGAGACCAGCATAAACGCCTCTTGAAGGTGAGCAGCGAAGTCTTTTTCGTCGAAGAACTCTTCGTTATAATACTGCTTCCACCAGTTTTCAAAAAGAGGCGAACACAGGAAATTGAGATTGAAGTCGAACAGAGTTAGTACGGTTTGACCAACGTACCTACCAATATGCTTGGTAGCATCATCCTCTGAATAGTCTGCATTGTAAAATAGCAGAAGCTTTTCTCAGGAGTAGATTGGTGAAGGGAGCGTCTGGGTAATACCAAATTATCGAGAGACAAGATTCGGTTAATAAGCAATTAAGCTAAGTTGATTCTTCAAACTCTTGAATCTCAGAGGCATGATTCTTGGTCGAAGAAATGACTCCCAGATAGCTACATATTCATCCACATGGTCATCTTCATCAAACGAAGGATATGGTCGAATGAACCATTCCGAGCCAACCTTTCTACTAGCAAAGGGATCCATGGTCGAAACAAATTCCTTCTTCTTTGCAAACATCATTATAAATCTGGTAAATGCCTTTTGGAATTGTTGACCTTCGTCAGTTGGAGTCAACAGGAATAATATAGTCCCTTCGACCCTTCTGTTCAAGACCTCTGGGGCCCTCTCGTTAATCTTATTCTTTTGTGGAAGAAAAGATTCAAAAGTGGCATTGAGCTAAAGTTGCAGAAGCCAAAAGGGGCCGGAAAGGAGTAAACTCGCTTTGTCTCTAATAACCTTAAGTTGAGTCACACCATTGCTAATGGACTCATACAAGTTGGCTAGAATTAACTCAGCAAGACAAAGAGGATAACCATGGTGAAGTTGTGTTACAAGAGTAAGAATTTTCTTAGTCACTTGAAGTGACTTAGTGCAAAAAATGAAACGAGATAACCACAAAGCCAGAAAAGTTATGTGTTCCATTTCAGAGACAGTGGTACTCGATTTGTCGTGGAAATGGTTGATGAATATAGTATACGTGGGCTTCATGGCCGAAAACCCAATAGAATCTTTAGACAGATCCTCAGGGTCGAAGTAGTCACTAGTTAGTCGAAGACCAATAATGGCGGCTATATCGAAGAGAGTTGGGGTTACCATTCCACAAGGAAAATGGAAGGTAAAATGTGTATTATCCCAGAAATACAGTGAAGACACCAACATGAGAGGGCAGTAAGCTAACCCAGTCTTCGACAGCATGATCAAGTCATAGATCCCCATATCTTTCCAGATCTGGGCTTGTACTTTTTCCATCTTACTCATCCATTCTGAGTATTCTGAAGTAAGACTAGGGCAAGATCGAAAGATCCTATTTCCCTTGTTCATGAACTGAAGGTTGATATCTTCCTCCGTTTGAGAATGTTGTTGATTGGCAGGGGTTGCATCCTCAGGATCATTCAAGGGTCTTTGCACAACCTATAGGCTTGAGCCTAGGGTAACTTGGGAAGAAGTTATTTTTTTTTTGGGTTCTCAAAACATGTAGATAATGGGCCATACATGGCATACATCTTCCCAGAATACCTAACAGGGATAAGAAACTGGGAGTCATAAGCCTCATGCCATTCTTTGGCCATGGGTTCAGATACGACCCTTTATTCCCCAGTCGAAACAGGTACAGGGCTAGTAGGAAAAACCTCTGGTTGTCTTTGTAGACCAGAAACGTTCTTAGTTTTTGGGTTGTTGGGTGTATTGGAAAGAAAAGCCATGGTTGAAAGTAGTGAAAGAACGAAGAAGATGAAGTTGTTAAGACTTTTTCTTTGCAAGGAAGTGAAGAATACTAGGAGTTGTAAAAGAGTTCCAAAGAGAGGATTCGTCTATTTATAGTGTTCAGGGAAAAGTGTTTTCCCTCAAGACCATTTAATGCTACAGAGTTAGTGGGGAATGTGGCGAGCATTGAAGCAGTTATCGTACGAGTAATGAAAATGTTTGCCATACTTTCCTAGGTTGTAGGGATAATGGCCATCATGGCAGCATGGTAACGGCTGATTGATAGCAGCGTGTTGGGAAAAAAGGTAATGATGACTCTGAATACCAGCAGTGGTTGGTAGAAGGCGAAAAGCACACAGGTGATTTCTATGGTCAAAGAGAAGACAAGTGAAAGACAGGAATCTCAAAGAATGATCATTTCTCCTTGCGTCGAAACTGATATTCTTGGGGGGAAGTTTGTTAGCTCCTAAATTCGACACCTACAACAAGTTGGTCTTATGGGCCAAAAATAGATTGAACAAGTCTAAGTGGGAAAGACTTCGACAGGGTGGAAAAATACTTAGAGAAATTTCTAAGTTAAAATGAATCTTCGACCAGAAGGTTCTCACATCCTTTGACTGAAAGGGTTCCAGGGTCTTCGACTAGAAGGAAACTTCATATCTGTGACAGAAGATTTTGAATCTGAAGAAAGGAGGGAAAAACAATTCACTTGGTAGTTAAGGGAAGCAATATGGCATGAAGAGAGGGGTCGAAGCGCATGCAGAAGATATTTGTCTTTATCTTAGAGCAGGGAAACTCCTCGGCGGTTACCTAGTCTTAGTATAAATATAGGAAGTTTATGTAGATTTTCGTGTGTTAAACTGATCGTACAAATTATTCAATATTATTCAAGTACCCGCTGCGTGAGAAAGAATACTGAAAATGTACGTTTGAAACACCACATTTTATAATCAAAGTCTTTTATTTCTCTCTTTACATTTCTTGCCTTTTTATCTTGTTTGCACTTTACTTGCACTTTTACCCAGATTCTTGCACCTAAACCCTTCTCAACCCCTTTTCTATTTACTTTCTGCACTCAAACTCATCCATTTCTCAGTCGAACGTGCGTTCTTCACTTACATTAGCATTTATGTCCAAACAACGCCAAAAATTAGCATATGTCCTAGAATCAAACTGATCGATCCTGCGAGTAACCAAAAAATTACCCTTTTTAGAAGATCAACGGTTGTTTACCAAAAAATACGGTGAACAGCTGCCTAAACTCTCCCCCACCCTGTTGCCATTCCTAAACAAGATGTTGTATCAAAAAATAAAATAAAGAAATAGAATTATAACCTTGTTTTGGTTTAAGCTAATTTGATATCATTAGGAGATCCAACAAATGAAACTTGTAAATTAATTGTACCAAGTGATTTAACATGGAACACTACTTTATATTTCTTTCCTTCCTATATATTCTGTTTATATAAAACATTGAAAATTATTATAAATAACATTAATTTTTTTCATATGATAAATAAAATATTGTATTAATTGATACTCACCATTTCCCAAAAACCTGGATTGGAAATACCAACACCACCATGTGGAAAAAAATTATGACAAAGAACATTCATACGTAATACAATTTTATTACATTCAAAACAAGAAGAACGCTTCGTTCATACAATAATAGATGATTGATTTTCTCTATTAATTGTCCATGGATAAATATTTGAGGTCCCATTAATGGAACTTTCTGCTTCAAAACCTGAAACATTAATTTACAAAAGATATAAAATAGAGAAACATATCTAACAATTGAAACAAATATTAAAATGAAAACAAAATTAGTAACATAAATTTTTAAAATAAATATATAATTTTTTTATCTTATTAGGAAAATAAACTCAAAGATAAAAAAATTTTGATGACAATATATACACCTCTATTATTCACAAGTTCTACCCACAACCCTCCAACTCCTGCATGATTAATCTTCTGAAAAAATAGATAATACATTAATGTATTATAAGATAATATTACAATAGTTCATAGTTCTTAATATATATTTAAACTGTAATATACTTCAAAAAATGATCCAAAAATATATCTGGAATAAGCTTTGCAGAACCAGCATCAATAACTAGTTTTTATGTGATTTGGCTAGCATCAACATCATGGTGGCATTTAGAAATGACAAAAAAAACACCTAAAGATAAAATAAAAGAATTGAAAGAACTTAAGAAAGACATAGTAAATTTACATTATTTTTTATTAATCATTTTCACTCATATTTATAAAGGAAGAAAAATCTATAAAATTAAGATGAGTTGTTAACAACATAATCTATAATTTGGATATTTTCTATTTTTATATCAAGTTGTTACAAATATTCTTAAATTTGATTTAGATTTTTATTTTTAACCTACATTACCTTATTATGTATTGGCGTGTAAATCATTCTCACCATACCTCATACTAGATTATTGGGCAACTCTGTTAAGAAACAACTAATATATACTTTTCTAAATCTATTGCAAAAAAGATATCAATGTTATTTAAGGATAAACACTATTTATATTTGTAATATTTTGTATAATATACATTTAGAATATACATTATATACAAAATTAATTGGTATTGATATAATATAAGTGTATATATTGCATTATCATATACATATACATAACTAAAATCTACTTATATATGGCACATGACATACAATGATGCCCAAATAAAATCTAAGAACTAAATACAATATCCGTCGTTGTACAAATTACACTCCAGAAGATCACAACATCAGAAGCATCATTAAGAAGCTCCCCCTGAAATAACCTGTAGATTACTTGAAAAATAATAATAATGATGAGGTGATATAATAATCTCAGTGAGTCCTCCTATCTTATGGGTCCACTCAGCTCTACCGGGTTTCTACCTGAATTCTAACTCAAGTATTCACCTTCTGTTACTTGTGCATCACTCACACAATATAACTAGGACTTGAACAACTGATAGATATTCGCAATGTATGGTAACATGTCACTTGAGTGCATCCACTCAAAATAATCATTATTCTGATTCACGACACATCTTTCCCTAAACTAGAACTATGTCTAGTTCAAGGCGTGGTCATGGATATTCGAATGATTTGACTTTTGCAGTGGATATCGGGTTCCCCTATGAGACTTGAACCCACTTTTAAGAAATGTAACTTGTATGGTACTAGAGCCCACTTTGAGTATCTTTCATTGTATGAGACTCGAATTCACTTAGGTATCCATCTTTCTCCCCATGTTCGCTATGGTTGGTACTCAAACCCACTTGAGGCACGAATCATTGGTGCCACATCCCTATTTTCTACTTTATATAAGCCTCTCAAATAGTATATGCATAAACAAGGGTAGCTATCTGAATACGTGATCAAATCTCACATCTCGTGGTTGTTCTCATCAATCAATAGGTAATCCTCATCACCAAATCTCATGATATCATATCAATTCTCATGGTATCATAACATGACACATTCTCATACATAAAACAAACATGTTCCACACAAAGAATTTTAATGTATCATTGGTGTAACTACTTGTGTATGGTACACATCATGGTACAATTACATCCAAGCATCACTATCTAAATCATTTTCATATCCTAAGTTATCTTACTAAGTCATTCACCTAGTTATACTCCTAGGTTTTTCTCACTCATCAATCATAAGTTTTAGTCATGTTATTGTGAATCCAATCCAATCAACCATTCATATCATAATCATAAGATATATCAAATAATTAACACAACAATAATTAATAACATATGTTATGGAATGCACCACATAAGGAACACAATAATAATTCATAATCAGTCATAACCAATACACACAATACCCATGGCATACTCATGAATTTCCTTCTCATCACTTGATGAGACATGTATTCTTTTTCCAATAATTTCAAACTCACAAAAATTGGAGGTATGATTCCCATTTTGTGGTGGAAACAATGAATCAACTCATACCATTCTCATGAAGCATCCTTCATGATCAACGTAACCTAATCTTATTTCTAGGTTATATCTCATTCTAATTTATTTAATTCACTCAAACAATGTTATATCAATGTATATAAAATCATGGTAGAAGTTAGAAGACATGTAGAATACAATTTCATAATTAATTAACAACAAGAGCCTTAGCCTAGTGGTAAAGCACTTTCTCCATGATAAGGAAGTCTTGGGTTCAACTCCCCCTAAAGGAATATTTTGATTTTAAATGATTTATCCAAATTTGAAGGATACCAATCAATTACCCAAGCAAGTAATTGCCCACCTGTGCAATCGATTGGTTCCTCACTTTTTCTTAATATTTTTCCTTTTTTCGTCATAATCGATTGACTATCACCTGCAGAAAAATCCATTTAACACAGACAATTTGTTTTCTCAGTTCTTTCCCATTATTCTTTCTTAACCTCATTTACCCTATTTTCACAACACTATAAGCAAGTTAAGATGTAAAATCAACAAGGATTACAATAATTAAGCAATACATAGTAAGGCTTCAACATAACAAACATAACATCAAGAGTTAATTAATAACACAATATATGGTTTTCATCATGAATCAAGTATTCTATATAAAACCCATTCTAAAGCATGCTTCAACCTAAGTTCTTGATATCAACAAGTTCAACAACAACAATCATGTTATCAAAGATGTAACATGAATCAAATATATCATCAAGAACTCAACACAACAACACAAAAACCCTAACTCCCAAACCATGAAATTCTTCCCCCAAGCTAAAACTAGTTAGGAACTCGCCTTAGAATGAAGAAGATGATGAACATTGATGATGAAAATAGATGAACATGATGATGGTGGTGATAATTTTATCCTTTCTTTTTCTCTTTTTTTCCTATTCTTTCTTCTTTTCCTCCTCTTTTCTTTGTTCTCTTTCTTCTACTGGTTTTCTCTTTCTCTTATTATCTTTACTAACTTACTTCTTTCTCCATCCTTATCTATACCTCCATATAATATAAGAAAAATATATCTTTACATCCGTGTGGTAAGTAATAATTGTAAGAAAAATATTTCCATTTGATAGATATTTCTTACTACTGTCGTAACCGTCAAAAAATAAGAGTCACCACCACTACTTATTCGTCCTAAGGATGAGAAAGGAACAGAAAAGCCTTAAGTGTTTAGAGATTAACGGGTTTGTGAATTAATTAGAAAAATGGGAGGTGTTAGGCACCCTTTACCTCCCTTGTACTCAAGGGAATCCTTTTTAGACTTAATACTTAGAGGGAATTACTTCTTTATTTATTGTCATATTATCATATATAGAAAAAGAAACTGAGAAAAATGTGTTTTTTAAGTTAGTGGACTCGTCTTGATTTTTCAACAGTGTGCCTACGCATCTTCTTAAAAAGAAATTGTAGTTCGAAGGTATTTGATTCGTGTTTTTGTACTTTTGATAATAGTTAAACTAATTACTTAAAAACTAAGTAAGATGATTAGACAAACCAGATTAAATAAATAAATTAAAACAAAGTGGTGTAAATAAAAACCATAAGTATTGTTCTGGACTGGGCCCGGCTGGCCCAAAAGCAATGGTAAAGGCCCAGTCCAAATAGTCTTGCGAAGGGCCACGCCGACCAGAAGGGACATCGTTGCCCGATATCTCCTGCTAGTATGTCGTCCTCGACTCCACGCTAACCTGCTCGACCTCAGCTCGAGCACTCCTCTTTAACAGGCTCTATCCACTACGCCATCACCTGGATCCCGAAAAGACCGCGTCCTCGTACGTCCGCACTTCACGCAGAACATCCAGGAAGGGGACCACGTGCGGGTCCCCACTACGCACGTAGAACCTGGCAGTTCCTCCATTGGGCCAAACCTGCCCGGCCCAATGAAGGAACCTTGGCCCAGCGCTGGGGGCTATAAATACCCTCTGTTCCCAGAGGGTCGGGTATTCATTCTTTTACCCACACTCATACTATTGCCTGCTCGTGCTCTTACTTACTTCAGCATCGGAGTGCCTTGCAGGTACCCCCCCCCCCCCACCTCGTTCAAAACTTCAGCTCGGAGTCAGCCGTGACGGTCCAGGTCTGATCAGGTTAGATCAGTGGCGCCGTCTGTGGGAAACTAGCTTCCCCGTCTTGCAAAACTCAAAGACCAAAGCTCAAATTCAACTACCGTTGTCATGGCTGATCAAGCTCGCGATGAGCAGAACGTCCGCGTCGTCAACACTAACAACGGCACCGCGGACAAAAACGGACACCTTGATAACGCCGGCAACCCCGGCCACAACACCATTCCTGCGACAACTGCCCCCGGAACTTCCACCTACCGGGACGGAGCTACTGCCTCATCTTCCTTGGTCCCTCCGCCACTCAAAGACGATCCGGCAGTCCTCATAAACTACCGGGCTGCCCGGTTCCAGGAAGTCCCCGTTCCCGACGGGGCAGACGCCACAACTCAAGCGCTGTTCGCAGCGATTAATCAAACGAACTATCTCATCTTCGCCCAAGGGGAAAGACTAAGGGCGCTTGAAGATGAACGAAGACCCCCGAGGAGGCATCGGAGGCCCCATACTCCCCCTCCTCGAGTGACTGAAACTCAACACCCATCTCCCCCGCGGAGACATTACAGGGAAACCTCTCGAAGCCAATCACCCCGACCAAAGGGGAAACGACCTCATTTGGAGAGGCAGCCCATCATTCAAGCCGGAGAACCTAGTCGCGACCCGGCGAGACAAGAAAGAAGGCACTCTGGAGACGGGCGTGTAAAATTTAACCACCGAGCATCCCGCTCGAGAGAAACTTAGCACGACCTGGACCGTCGTGCCAGACAGTATTACAGGTCCCTATCTCTGTCTCCGGAGAGAAGCGACGAGGACGACCCCCGCGGTCCCCTGTCGCAGGCTATTATGGAAGCACCCATCCCCCCGGGCATGGAGAAGCCCCTACACTTGAAGGAGTACGATGGAGTTGCGGACCCGGTCGACCACATAGACGGGTTCAAGGCTATGTTGCATTACCACAACGTCGGGGGGGGGGGCATCAAATGCCGACTATTCCCCACGACTCTCAGGAAGGCGGCAATGGACTGGTACAAAGGACTCGCCCCGGGCTCAATCACCTCGTGGCGAAACCTGAAGAACTAGTTCATCAGTTCATTCACAGCTTCTCGGCGACATCCGAAGACCGAGGCGGCCCTCGAGGCCATCATCCAGCAACAGGATGAGACCTTGAGGGAGTTCATCAATCGCTTCAACCGGGAAGCTATACAGGTCCCATGTGCGGACCATATGAAGAGATATATGCTGGAGAGGGGGATCCTCCCCGGCACGGAATTCAGAAAGGCCGTGGGTATCGAGCCACCTCGGACATTCGATGCCCTCCTCGAAAAAGCTCGGGCATACATGGACTACGAGGAGAGGGAAGCGGCCAACAGAGCCCGAGATCCCAGGACTCGCGGGCCCAACAGCAGCTCGCGCCAAGAAGCTCCTCCTCGACGAACCGGGGAGAAAAGGAAAGAAGATAGACCCCGGGAAGTCTGGGAACAAAGAGGACCTTCGGGGCGTTTCACCGAGTACACTCCGCTCACAGCTTCCCACGAGCGCATTCTGGCGGAGTGTGCCAGCACTGATTTCAAGGACGGCGGTGTCAAACGTCCCCGACCTGATCCCGCCAAGCCCGGAGTAGACAAGAACAAGTATTGTCAGTACCATAGGAGCCATGGTCATCTGACTGAGGATTGCGTCCACCTCAAGGACGCCATCGAAACCCTCATCAAGGGAGGGAGGCTCGCGCAATACCGGCGAAGCGACGCTCCCCATCGTGACGCCCAAGAAACTAGAGAGCCGGAGGAGGATGCCCGACCATCTGACGAGTCGGCCCCTATCCAGACCGCCTTCTCCGTGACCAGGCCCGAGGACTTCGACTTCCCCGAGCACCTGCAGGAGCCGCTCACAACACACACCAGGTGGGAATATTTCCCCTCCGCCCTGGTCATCAACGGCGGCGGGTTCAACGACTTGACCATCAATTCAGCCAAGAGGAAGCTGGACGAGCTGGTCGACGCGGCTCCCCCGCAAACAGTGACGTTCGAAAGGGTGAAGGGCAGGTCAGAGCCCATCACCTTCTACCTAGAAGAGCTCCCCGGCGGAGCCCCGAACGCGGTCATCCCCTTACTGATAAGGGCCAGAATGGCCAATTTTGATGTACATCGCATCCCTGTCGACGAAGGGAGTTCCGTCGACGTGATGTACAGCCAACTGTTCTGAACTCTACAGCTGGACGACTCACATCTCTCACCGTATGTGGGGTCGGACTTACAAGGTTTCAATGGCTCGACCTCCAAACCTTGGGGATATGTCGAGCTTCTGGTTACGTTCGGTGAAGGGACGGCCACAAGACAAGTCAAAGTACGCTTCCTGGTCATCGACTGCCCGTCTCTGTACAACTGCATCTTGGGGAGACCAA